AAGAGTAGGATACTTGGACCAAATTATTACGCCTTAGCCTTACAAAATTTAATTATTTAAGAGGACCTCGAAGGACCCTCACAGGAAGCATAAAGATAGAAGAAATAAATAATACATATGCTTTAAAATTATGATATTCTTTATCTTAAGATTTAAATGGTGATAATGAAATAAGTTTATCGGAGTCAAAATCTTTATATTTTAATATATAAATTTCCAAAATGATATATATAAATGTGAAAATACAACTTTTAAATTTATATGTCATTTATATATATTTTCTATTTCTTTAAGTGTGTGTGTGTAACATGTATAATTTCTTATATGTGTTTATTTGCGAAATATGAAAATGGATTTATGAGATGATATAAAAGATGAAATTTTTATATTTTGATAAAATTTTATTGAGAAACAAACATATAATAATTATTGATATATTATCATATATACAACTACTTGAAAATAATAAAAGAAGCATCAATAACCAATAAAAAAATCTTTTAATATGTGAAAGTAAAACCTTAACATTTGAATAAAATGATTTATTGAAAAAAATAAGGGATGATAAATTTGAAATTATTTGACCATAAAATGCTTTCATCTATTGTTAAGAAAAATTATCTTGAAAAAAAAGTTTATAGAGAGCTTTAGCAAATAAATATTGAATTAAGAAAAGTTAGAAGAAAAGGAGATAATGGAATAGATCTCGAAGGAAGAATAATAGGAAAGCTCTTTATAATACAAGTTAAAAATTAAACAATCATAAAAATTGATAAGCTGATCACTTATTAAGTTATTGAGTAGTGTTACAAATTGTTAGTTGAAAAGTTTGAAATTAATCAATCAGAATATAGGGATTTTTAGTTGCAACTAGTTGATTATAATTAAAACAACTAATCGATTGGAAAAATTTTAACCAATTAAGATTACTATTGTTGAGTTATTATGTAGTCTAAGTTATACTACCATACATAGAACCCCAGATATGTGACATAAGGTGAACTGGATTTTTATAATGAATATGACTATATGAAAAGCTAAATTGAAAGCATATCGAGGCCACAATAAAATATAATTTATTATAACACAAACTTACTTGTATTTTGAATGATAGAATTGAATATTATCTGAGAATTCGAAGGAATACTAGGAAGAAAACCACCAGGAACTATAGGAATAATTATTGCTTCAACATGAAATTGGTATATAAGGAGAGTGATAAATAAGGTTTATACATTGAGATATAATATATTATTAACAAATATAGAAGATTTATATATAAATTTTATTAATTTTATTAGGGGTATAGATTATACATGTGGTAGAAATTGGTAGATCCTTGATGCAATTGACGCAATTATTTGATACAATTAATTGAGTCATTATTAAAACATATAAAATAATTACTATAAGTCAGATGCAATTATTTTTGAGGATTTTGACAATTGAGTCAACAGCAAAATAATTTACACCACATGTATAGTATAGATATTGTAATAAAATAAAAATACATAAGATATTATACATATATCTATATAAGGCTTAATCTTCTGAAAGATATATGCATAACTATATAGTAAATATAAATATAATAAAATAAATGAAAAAGAAATAGTAAATAAAACCCCTTATACACCAAATTAGTATAGCCATAATCTCTTGTTAATCACATATGGTAATATTATGATAAACACTATTAGTAATACTATTTACCCTTATGAAACCCATATGGTTTGGAGTGATCGGCACCCTTGACAATCATGACATGTATTCAAAGTCATGTGGCAGGTTAAGGATTCAAATTGTTATAGAAATATTGATAGATATAAGAGTAAGAGATTTTGTTAAGGAATTATATAAAAGAAATATTTTAATAAAATAGGCAGGACAAATCCGAATACAAAAAAGATGGTTGAAAGAGATTAATAACCATGAAATTTCAACTGGAGAGAATTCTGGAAGGCAAACAGAGTAGAAGGAGCCCTAGAAACATTGTTAAAGAAACTAGAGAAAAATTCTTTTAAATTAAAATAATGCATAACGAGCTTCTGACTCTGAACAATATGAATAAATGATTTCCTAAGGAATATGGAAGCTTAACTGACTATATATATTGTAGAAAAGAAAAGGAATCTCTTGAACATCTTCTTTCATGTCCTGATATTGTGAAAATCTGAAAAGAAATCTGAAATAAAGCTAAAGATCTAATGTTAAACAAATGGCCGAACAAGATCCAGGAAGAAAAAGATCAAGGCTCAAGAACCCATATCAGTACATTATTAGTGAAATAGTATACAGATAAGTTTTCTCAAGAAAAGATATTATAGACTTTATCCTAGGACTATTTCAAAAAGAAGATATTATGAAATGGAGCTCAGTGATAATGAAATTTAAAGTTAAAAAGGGTAAAGCAAAATTTCTATTATGTAAATTGTTAAGATCAGTTTGTAAACAGGTCAGAAAGAAGATATGGAATGATAGATGTTCCAGGCTATAAGACTCAGGAGAAAAGCCAGAAATGAAGAAACATTGGAAAAGTAACTGCACAAAGATCCAGAAAAAAGCAAGATTAGAAGAACAAGAAGATTATAAAACAAAAGATCTTGCAGATTAAGAAGAAGCCATGAATGAAGAGTCCAAGCAAAGTCAGAAACAAAGCGAAACAGTGGTATAGAGGTGAATTAAAGAAGTGAAAAAATGGTTAAGAATATAACAAGTAGTCTAGATTTTGTTCAAATGAACCATAGTGATAAACTATAGGTGATGATTTTTACTTTTATATTTCAAAAGTGAATAGAATTTAAAATAGCAACTTTTTTCATCTCCAAAGTCATATCAAGAGATATAGTCTAAGATAGATATTCAAGGCAGTAGACAGTTTATACAATACAATATATTATATATTATTTGTTTTCTATAAAGATTTAATAAACATACATACTTGTTTAATTACAGAAAAAAAATATATAGTTGAATAAATAAAATAAATATATAAGTTATTATTAAAACAATTAATATACAGTATTAATTCTATATATATATAAGATATAAAAATATTTAACTAATTGTATATAACTCCATATATAAAAGATACTTGATATCTATTTAATATTATACAGTATATTAATAAAAATATTCATTAATATATATTTATTTTTAAAAAAAATTAATACAGTATATAAAAATAAAATATAATTAAAAAAATTTTTTTGTTTACTTTTATTTTATAAAAAAATTCTATTTTAGAAAATCTTTATTTTTTTTCTTGTTAAAATAAAAAAAAACACTTAAATTAGTTTTTTTAAACAAATTCTATATATATCTAGAAATATATATTTCTAATATAACAAATATAAATATATTATATTTTTATTTATATTTAATTTTTTTATCTGCAGATAAATTATTTTTTCTTTTTCTTAAAAAATTTTTTTATCTGCAGATAAATTATTTTTTCTTTTTCTTAAAAAATTTTTTTAAAAATAATTTTAAAATTGTTAAATATATAAAATTTTACAGATTAATTATATATTATTTTAAAAAATGATACAATTATTTACTTATTACTTAAAACTTAAAAAACATTTGAATTAAATGGCTTAAATTATATAAAAAATCTTTACAAATAATTTTTTTTTGACCTTATATTTTTGCTTTTAGTTTAAGAATCCATTTAATTTTTATTATATGTTTTTAATCTTTTGAACAATTATAAATCTTATTTAAACTAAATTAGTCATTTTAATATGAATTAAACAAATCTTATTTAAATATATAAGCTAAAGTATAAGTAATTATAGCAATTAATAATATGGTTTATTGCAATATACAGTAATTGGTAAAGAAGAGAATTTATTTCAAATTTTGTTAAAAAAAAATAATTTTATGTCTACATGTATAGTATATGTAAAAAAATATCAAACAAACCTTTTCTTTATACAAGATTGATTAACAAGATTGCTTAAGTCTTGAAGTTTTTATTTGTTAATGATAATTACATTAAATAATTTAATAAAAATATAAAGCATTATTAATTATTAATAACAAATTTGATCATAATAATTTTATGAATATTAAAATTCTAAGTGTCATTTAAGTTATAAGAGGTATATGATAATTATTTACAATTAAAAATTTATAATCTTACCAATTTCATCAATTGTATTTAACAAGTTAATAAAATACCGGTAGAATTTCTTTACCAAATATCATGTATTTATTTATATTTCATAAATAACCCGCACTAATTTAGAAAGATGAACAACTAGATGGTATAACAAAAGTTGTCAGTAATTGTCCAGAAGATGATACCAGGGAATAATATCTTGTTTATACATCACTCAGTTCGTCCTCTTGTCTAAATTTACCATTTGTAGTTAAACTTAACCTTAAGCAAATATTTCTGGAGTATTTGACAGACGTCGTAAACGATATACTCGTTATACATCAAAAATTTATCATTATTACGATATTTTCCAATTCCACAAGGTACTACCGTGCCGTTTTCTAGGACAACGAAACCCTTAGGATCCGGAACAGTTTGACCCATACCCTTAGTACAATGCTTGCCTTGTTTTTTGACCCTGTCTCCTGC